TCAAGAAATCAAGCAGAGAAGAACAGAAACATTACGGAACACTAATAACCGGCTAATCTCGCTAGCAAAGCAGATTACCAACATTAAACACTCTCACCTAGAGAGGTCTTATTACTTTAATTTCCGTATTAATTACTCCTTAATCAGGTACTAACTTGACCGTTGGAGGCGGAGCTCTCAGGAGTCTCCGTTATTTTGCAGGTACAGGCGTCCGGTTCCAGTCTCGGAATTGTAACTCTCCCGCAGGACATCAAAAAAACCCCGAAACACCATGGATATAACACTCTGTGACATATAATTATCAATATCATCAAAGGATTTCAATGTCTGTTGACCACATATTGGCTCCCCAAAAATGATGGACTTTAGTACCATTATAAACCAAGTGGTACAATAACGCCGATCATACGTACCATTGCGAATGCAGTTGTAAATTCATACGTGCAATGGTACCCTTGATTGCCGGACATGCACCATAGTAAATGTCAGCATATATAAATGGTACCCTTCAGAAGTACCACGTTAGGGCCTTCATAATTTTCATAGTAATTAGGGTAACAAAGTAAGTGTTACGGCCTTTTTTATTAGGTGTAATACACCCAAAACCAGTATATAGTAAAGGGTAATAGGTTAAATCATTACTTGTTACCACGTAAGGAAATGTACGAAGCAAGTACTAAGTGCATGACTCACAGAACAAGGGTAGATGGACGTGTATTGATATAATACCATGGATATAACACTCAGTGACATATAATTATCAATGTTATCAAAGGATTTCTATTTTTTTGACCCACATATTGCCTCCCCAAAAATAATTAAGTTTAGTACCATTATAAACCGAGTGGTACAATAACATCGATTAAATGTAGCCTTAAGTATGCAGTGGTATACTTAAGTCAATTAAACATACCATTACAAACAGGATTTTAATTTATTTTGCCTAAATAATGACTCCACAAAGAGGATGGAATTTACTATTACTTTAAACATATTGATACCTACACAAGTCATGGAGGTACTCTGAATCGTCTCAATGGTATTCTATATGTTAATAATTGTCTCACTGGCTTCGTTCGCACTATTTATGGTATAGTTACATACAGTGAAATGTACCACTGGATCTGCGAAAATGATTTGGTACAGTACACCCTCACATAATAGTTGTTATTACTCATATAAGTACCACAACTTCCCAGTGCATCATGTCTGCATGTCAGAAGTAAATGGTACATTTCTGCCTATTAAAAATGTACCACTGGGAAAAAGAATACAACTTAAAATATATGATGGGACATTTACTTATAACTGCAGCCACAGAAAACAAGAACTCCTGCTGCAAATGTCAAATAATATCAAATATGAATAACAATGTTACTTTATTGTCATTGTCAAGCACTGGTACTTGAACTCAATAAACGGTACATTTCTACCTGTTCAAAATGTACCACTGGGAAAATGGATACAACTTAAAAATATATAATGGGACATTTACTTATTACTGCAGCCAAAGAAAACAAGGACCCCCTACACTAATTGGGATTGAACCTTGCTATCCTAGGAGTCATACCATGGAGACTAACTAAAACCTCCCCTCCCCCCCTTCACCAGAGTTTCTTCCCCTTACAGCAGTAAAGTAACCTAACAAACCATCTAAATCCATCATTTGTATTCCTCCAATCGACCGCATATATTCATTCGTTGACAATGATATGCTGGTTTGGGTTTGGGTAGCTTGCTTCTTGGCAGCATTTCTGGCCCTAGCAGCTTCTTCTTTGCCTTTTTTTTCTATGAATGATGGGTACCCTCGAATTTGTAGTACAATGGGCCTTCTTCTTTGGTAATGGTAGATCTTTAATCCTCCCTGGGACAGATCCTTCGCAACTCCTTTGGAAACCACTTACTATGGTGGTGGTGTTTGGCAAACCGGATCCATAAGTCACTAGCGTAGTTGTGGCATCACGTCCCTTGTTCTGCACCACAGAAGAAGGGGTCCTAACAAAACGTTCAACACCTTCACCTTCAACATCTTCATTGTCCTTCGCTGCCTGTTTCTCCTTTTTGGCAACCATTGCCAACACTTCATCCACTTTGAGGTCCATTAGTTGTAGCAACTCTGTCACAGCCTTAATGGCTTCGTTACAAGCAGAAGACTAGAGCAAATTGGTTTATAAGTCCCCATAAGTTTGTGATACTGCTTGAATTCATCGGTTTTAAGTGGATCATGGTAAGCTACTTTTATTCGTGTGTGTTTCTGTTATACGTCCTTTCTCCAACGACGAAGAATATATTTCTCAAGAACAATTGTAACACCACTAAGGTCTTACACCAGAATCATATGTCTACAAATGATTCCATGACACTCAAAGTATTTACAATTACAAGTAGCTTCATATGTGGTTGTATCATACCAAACCCTATAGCATCTCCAAACCTTTGTCACAAACTCTTTCTTCGCATATTTTGGCTTGATCCAGATACGGTCCTCAATTACATAATCAATAACATTTTCTCCTATTTTTATTTGATCTAAACAACGCACATACAACATCTTGGTGCACTCCCGCTGAACTTCTTTGAATTTCGCGTCTGTATAGCACTTCTGGAACACCTCCTCTACAGGGAAATAAGTTGATAACTGCCTCACATACCGCAGCGTGCTCGAGTTAGTAGCTCTTTCAGACTCAGCCCTTATTTGCATAGCATCGCAGTAGCGAAGCACAAACTCAGACAAGGTAGTGTTCTTGTCAACATATCATTTGAAGAAATGATTGAAACTTTCCGAACGTTGCGTTGTTTTCATCCTAGCCCAAAATAAATGTTTCAAATAGGCTGGGATCCACATGTGCCTTTCCTCATACAGACCTGTATCAGAAAAAAAGATATAATCAGTACCTTTCATACAAATTACACAGAACAATAAATAGCCTCTGCCAGTAACACAACACTAAAACAGATTCCTTCTTCATGCAACTGATACATTCAGTAGTGCAAAAACATACCACTAGATGTTTTAAAAAGTGCAACTAGTACATATAGTGGTACATTAAAAAAAAAATAATAAAAAAAAAAAAAAAACCAATTCAGTTAATACCACAAAACTAGAATAGCTTCCACCTTTTGGCACACTAAGTCACACTCCCTATTTTCAGTGCTAGATTCAGATCATGACATGGACTACACACCCAAGATGAAAGTACATTAACCAATTTCAAATATACACTACAAACATATTTATGATAAATCTACTGTAACAACCATCAACCAAAATAGCAAATAAAAAAAACATTAAGAGGAATAACCTTACCTTCAAGCCAAGTGTTTTCTTATAGTTTGTAATGATCAATTGCGTCCAACCAACGATCTACAAATTCTTCGGGATCTATACTACCGTAGATGATATTTTGAAAATCATCCTTCACGGCTTCATACTCGTCATGCTTACCCACGTACTTCCCAAACTTTTGAAGGATTTGCCATATGCACCACCTATGACAAGTGTCACTCATGGTCATATGTACAGTGATAGGCGTGTCGCGTACCTAACAAAAATAACCTAACTATTCCTCCTAACTATGTAGTCGGGCAAGTAAGGGTCGAATCCCAAGAGACTAAGGTCTACCTAATTAAATAGACTCAAGAATCACTAAGCAAGTAACTGAATCAAGAATGAAGAACACTAATAACTAATATACTAAATAACACAATTAACTAAGAATAAGATAATCAATGAATTAAAGCATCCAAGATCAAGCATTACCACGAATATAATCAAAGCACAAATGAATCTATCCCCAATAACAATTCAATCGACAAGAGGAAAAACATTCCCTAAACAATACCAAAAGTCTCTTCCGAGTTATCAATGGCTTCCCATATCAACTATCAAGCCTATTTCCATGGAATCAAGCAATAAGGGACATTAAACACAATACTTAACTTCCTAATCATTCAATCATCTACTTCCATTATGATCTTCAACCCCTCAATTGAAATACCCAAATCCCGTTAATATTCAACTTCCGTTGCAATAAGAACAAAGGGATGATAACAATACCAATTATTCCTAATCTAGTATTGGCATAAACACAATCAATTAAGCATGTTAATTGGGATTATTATTGGAGAATTTAAAGAATCAAATCATGTTTCAATCATATTCGGGCTTTGCAAGATCCCGGATTATGAATCTACTCACACATACTAACAAAACCAATAACAAGATTCAAATGACAAGACATAATCCGTAAGCAATAAGAAATAAAAAAGAAGTGAGATAGATGAATACCAATTGCTTCAATTGAGAGAACTTGAATTGTTGATGAACAATAAATCAAAACTAAGAGTAGAAATTAAATGCTTAAAAGAGAGTAAACTAGGGTTCTTAGGGAAAACTAATACTAGAGGATATAAAAAAGTGTATTCTAATTTTGATTACAAAGGGTATTTATAAAACGACTTCCGCAAAGCAGTGCTCGGTCCAACCGGGCAAGGTCTTCCCGATCGGGCGGCCAGAGTACGGTGATGCCTATTCTTCGTTGTTCTTCTTTCTTCCCGTGCCCGGTCTCACCGGGCAAGCCACGCCCGATTGGGCGCGCAAGGCGACTTCTAAAACTGAGATGTGAAATCAACTCTTCAATGCCCGGTCTCACCGGGCGAGCTATGCCCAACCGGGCACGTAGAGTCTGCAACAATACTTCATAGCTAGCTTTGTCCTTCGTTGCCCTGTCTGACCGGGCAAGCTATGGTCAACAGGGCATGGAGGAAATCTTCGTCTTCACACACTAACCTCTTTTTTAACTATCTAAAACACGTCTGATTCATCCAAGAAACTTCGTATTCCTATGAAACTCAATAAAATAGATCGAACACACAAGACAAGAGATTGTTAGCAAGAAATGGCTCCAAAGAGCCCAAAACCATGCAAATATACATTGTACAACCGGGGTAAAACATGGTATAAAACACATACATCACACAGCTTTCCTAATAGCCGGATCTTAATCCGTTAGGATCGAGATAGGAGCTTTGCCTCCCATGCAATGTAGCCATGTCCTCAACACCCACTCGTAGGTCTCTGCTGTCTCCTGAGAGATCAATGCACAACCAAATAGTATACTCTGCCCGTGGTGATTCACACCGAAAAACACAGCAAAGGGAAGGTGAAATTTGTTTGTCAGGTATGTACAGTCAAAACAGGCCACATCTCCAAACTCCTCATACGCACCTCTACTCCTTGCATCTACCCAAACAACATCTTGTAATGCACCATCCTTCCCAAACCTACAAAGAAGAAAAAAATTATGATTGTCTACACTCATTTTGTTGAAGTACTCTATCATGCCATTCGCATCACCCTCAGTAAGCTCCAGTCTTTGTTTCTCAGCCACTGCATTCTCCAAGTCTTTTTGCGTAAATAACATCTGATCCACTCCGTTTTGTTCCCGCGCAAAACAATTGTACATCTGCAATACCTTCACCCTAGACTTCTTTGCATTACACATCGGGTTCACCAAGTGTCCATTTTTCACATCCAACTCATGCTTCCTGAACATAGTTACATCCTTTGACTTTTCCGGTGTAACTATGTGGCCAGTGTGCCCCAAGTGTAGCCTTCGAACAACCCAATTGACTTCCTCATCAACACTAGCATACAACTCCACATGACACCCGCAATTTTTCGTCTTCTGTTTCACAACTGTTTCCTCATCTTGCAACAACCCTTCCTTAAGTGCATCCACTTTACGCTTCCTGGAAGGTCTTCCGTAGCACTCGCAAGTCCACTTAGCATTCCTTTTCTGCTTATAACACCTTCCATCTCCTAATTCCTTCTTCACCTTGACAAACCCAGCAGCATCCCTCACTATACCCAACCCCTTTTTCTTAACATAACTCCAATAAAAACTATCTACCTCATCCCAACTACCAAATACCATACCCAAAGTCGGCGCTGGTCCTTCCTCTTCCACACCAAATACAGTGTTCACCATTATGGTGTTCTTCTTTGGTGTTATGAAAGAAGAACTTCCTGCCCCTACCCCTTCCCCTTCATCTTCAACTCCTTCCTCCACTTCTACTTCCTCTTAATCTGACCCTCATTCCTCTCCCTTATTATCTGACCCCCATTCCTCTCCATCATCTTCTGATCCTTGTTCATTCTCCTCTTCATCTCCTTCTCCATACCCTTTCTCACTCTCTAATCCCTCCTCATTACCACATACATCATCCTCACCACCAGTACTCCCCTACAGCAAACAAACAGCTATAAACCAATCTCAATCATTGATTATAAAACAAGAATACACACCCACACAATCAATCATATACACAACACCAATAACAAAGTAGAAAATCCAAATATCCGATGCACGGCCACCACAAATAACACCAATTTCGTACACAACCCCACTCAACAACTATTTTCCAAGTCCAATTTCAAAAAAAAAAAAAAAAAAATTGCCAAACACACCTCAATTACTCAGATTCATCAAATTTCGCCAAAGACACCTCAATTACTTACTTCAATTAGTCACCTCAAGTTGCACATACACAAAACAAATTCGCCAAACACACCTCAATTACTCAGATTTCAATCCACAATCTAACATTACCAACATCAATTGTTGAATAAATGACTACAATTTATACAATATAACTACTCAATTATTCAGTATCACAATCAACTAGGGGTGAGCAAACCGGGTACCCGGTCAAAATCTTAGAAACCGGACCCAGAATTGGTTGGGATCGGGTTCTAAAATTCGGAATTGGAATTAATTATTGGAATCGCCGGGTACCAGTTCCGGTTCTGAGTACCCACTTATGTGCATAATTGTTCAAATTTAATACAAATTATAATACTTATTTTGATGCATTTTCATTTTTAGCGTTTAATACTTATATTTATATATTCATGAAGCTAATTTATTTATATTAGGTAATAATATATTTTTTTTTTAATTTTACTAACTAGATACATTCAACCTATTTTTGTTTTAAAAATATATTTAGTTTAATATATATTGGGTAATCGGGTACCAACCCGGTTTTGGGTCCAAAAAATTGAGAATTGGAATTGGAACCGGTTGCAATTGGTTCCTTAATTTATTAGCCGGAATTGGAACCACCGGGTCCAATTCCGGATCCGGACTCGCCAGTTCCTAACCGGTATCGATTCCAATTTCGGGTACCCAGAATTTTTGCTCACCCCTACTATCAACATCAACATCAACTCAAAAATACAACATTACCAATAACTCTAAAAACGCCATAAACCCTAAATTCTGTACTCCTCTAATCCATGCATTACTAACCTACAACTAAAACAAATGTATCAAACACAACGACCTACTTAGGGGAGACGATTACTTACATTCTCACTATCAAACCGCAACTCCCTTGCGCAATCATGCCCTTCTTCACCACCATCGCGCAATGCTTCCGCTAAATCAACTCTCAAAATATCAGCTAAACCGATTTCGCATTGTCATAATGTAGTTTAGAATGACTATTTAAATGCAATTTTTTGTTTAATTTAAGAGGGCTAAGATTCCAGATTTGGTGGTCATGGCGGAACCTTCATTGCCATTGAAGCATTCCTTATTTATTTTTTTATTTTTATTTTTTTAAACTAACTTTTTGGTAAAAGTAAGTAAAAATGGGGAGCGGGTAATTTTTGGTTTCCCGCTACAATTTTCATTTTCCGTTATGTTTCTCTAAGTTCCGTTACAGTTTCATCCCAGTTGGCACTTTCAGGGCCCACCCACCTTTCACGAAGTTCCCATTTAATAACAACTTTGCCATCCTATATCTTTGCAAATCTATAGGAACTATGCGCCTTTAGTTCTTCCACTACATATATGAAAACATTTAACATTATGATGCAATCAATGTTTTACATAGTATTATATTAGCCTCGGGACCCTAAATCTAAACAATCCATAAATTAATACTCGTATATTTACAAGATCTTAGATATTTAACCTTATCTTATATAAAATCTTATATGAAAATAATAAATACGTTTGTATATTTAATAATTATCACACAAATTATTGGGTGTGGCATTCCGCACCCAATATTTTGTGCGGCGGAGGAAATGACGATGAAGATTGAAAAATGGATCTCACGGCAGCAGACAGCGGTTGGCGATTTGCAGCGGCTGGTGGTGGAGCTTCGAACATACAGTGTTAGCGGTGGCCTGGAATGAACGACGCTTGAATTACGGATCTGGACCTTGTTTGAAAATGGAGGAATGGGTTCAACTATTTGTGTGGCTCTACAATTTATGGGTAAGATTTTTGAGAAAAGATACGAGAGAGATGTATTGAAGGAATGGAAGTTTGAAGAATTGGAGTGGGTTGGACTTTTCTATGGGTGATGATGATGACGGTATGATGATGATGGTGTGATATGGTGAGGATCTGTGGACAGTGGCTCAATTTCCTATTCTCATTTGAAACAGAGAAAAAGAATGAGAGGATGAGGGGGAAAGAGGAGAGAGAAGGAAATAAAAATATATTATATCTTGTTAATCATATTAGCTAATAAATAACGCAAATTAGCAATTAAAATGAACATATCAGCCAATTGATGTCTGATATCAGTTAAACATTAGGGACATATCAGACATTAATAAAAACGTATCAGTCAACACAAGGAAATATCATTCTACAAAAGGAACATAACATCCAACAAAAGATACATATCAGTCAACAGAATGAATATATTAGCCAATAAATGAAGCATATTAGCAAACAAAAGGATGAAATCGGCAAACAAAAGCAACAGGTAAGCCAACAAAATAAACACATCAGCCTACACAATGAAACATATAAGCCAACAATTAAAATATATATATCAGCCAACAAAATAAAGATATCAGCCAACTAAAGAAATATATCAGCCAACTAATGTCTTATAGCAGCCAACAAAGGTAACATATCAAAAATAAAAATAAAAAATAAAAAATAAATAAAAAAAAAAAACCATATCAGCCAACAAAAAATATATATTAGCCAACACAAAAATCATATCAGCCAACAAATGAAACATATCAGCCAACAAGTAAAATATATCAGCCAAGCCTGCCGCACCAAATTTGCGTATGGCAGTACGCACCTAATACCTTCTCTAATTTATAATTATAATAAAAAAAAATCTAAATATCTTTACACTAAACATATTGACATTTTTGTGAAATATTTAACAACGAGAACTATGAATACTCATTTTATAGAGTTTTTGCCTAATTAAAATCTTTTAATTGATAACTGAAGTTACATTGATTAACATACAAAAAGAATAACGGGATCAATTTGTCGTTAAAATACATAAAACATATTCATTTAGTCAAAACTATAATAAAATTAAATCTACTCATATACGTAGCTTTTAAAAAAAAAACATATGTATGTGGTTATTCAACTAAATACTATTTAAATTGTTTTATTTCTTTTTCTATGGTTACATTTTGACTTTGGCAGTCAACGTTTAGAAAATTTTACTATAAAAATATGATATTATAAATGTCACATTCATATCATGTATGATGTTGTTGGATTTGTCTTGAAATAAATTTTTTAATATACTCCATTCGTCTTTAAATTAATGAAATGTTTCCCTTGTACACGTATGCCAACACAACACTTTGACTGATATTATCTTTAATTATATTATCAATAGGTAAAAATTATAACAATAATTAAATATTAAATTATTATTCATTGGGACAATTCCGACAAGAACCCACAAGACTATATTTATTCTTATATATAAATCACAAACATTAGTCAAAGTGAATTAGATGAATAGTGTAAAAAGTCAAAATATTTCATTTATTTAAAGATGGAGGGAGTTTTTTTTTTTTACTCAAAGTATAATGCATACATATGCGGTCAAAGATGTCATTGTAGTACGTGAAGTGTTTCGGGGTTTTCTGATGTCCTGCGGGAGAGTTACAATTCCGAGACTGGAACCGGACACCTGTACCTGCAAAATAACGGAGACTCCTGGGAGCTCCGCCTCCAACGGTCAAGTTAGTACTTGATTAAGGAGTAATTAATGCGGAAATTAAAGTGATTGGGTCTCTCTAGGTGAGAGTGTTTAATGTAGGTAATCTGCTTTGTTAGCGAGATCAGCCGGTTATTACTGTGTGTAATTAATGTGTTTTTTTGTTATCCCCCTTAATGAGGATTAAGGGAGGTATTTATAACCTTGGGAAACGTGCCCATCCTAGGTTTAGGTTAACCTAGGGCCGATTGGGCTTCCCTCGGAAGTTGGGCCGAGGTGGCCGGTTTCTCCATTAGGCATGGAGTATGCCACATGTCATGACATAATAGGTCCAAGGTGGACGAATAAGCGCGTGCCACGTGGCAAGCCCTGACAGTTCCAACTGGGGGAAACCTGGCAGGACCTGATTGGCCCACGTGGCGCATTCCGATTGGTGGGAGCAAAATCCCCTAATCATTTGCCCCTCACAGGTGGCACGTGATTGGTCACGTGTTACCTGTGACAGGTGTAGCACTGTAACAGGCGGCGACCTTCTACAGGTGTCAGTCGGCGAAAGGACGAGAGATTTTCTTGCCCAAATTTTGAATTCTGAAAGTGACCCTTCGCCTTCTCACTTCGCCTATATAAGGGAGGATTGTCTTGAGTCATTTTCACATTTTGAGAACATTTTGAGAACATTCGGACCCCTGAACTTGCTCTGACATTTCGAACCTTTTCTGCCTACCGCCTGTTCTGACAAGCCGACTGCACAGGATTTTCAGAACTTCATCAACCGTCACTCGTTCAGGTAACTGTCAGTTCTCTTACTCTTAATTTTCTTTTTATTTTTTGAAATGGCACCACGGAAGCACACGACACGACCTAGGTTAGTAATCAGCCGGTCACCGGGGACGGCTGAATCTAGGACTAGGAGTGCCACCTGCCCTTTTCCGGACCCATCTTTGCCCTTTATACAAAGTCCGACTGTATCTGTGTCTAT